ACATTGAGTTAGTTACATAAAACCCAAATTTCCTTTATTGAGCACATTAATTTATTATTTTCTAAACTCTCCTCCCAGTCTTTACTTTCTGGATAATAAATAATAATTGTTTTTCATTTTCTATGACTATGTGATGTATTCACCTATACACCTTTGTTTCTGTAGAACCATAGAGGATTTTAAAGAGGCGTAAAATATTCCCTCAAAAAGGACAATTATGAATTCCAAAACAATCTACAATATTTCTTTGGGAATTTAACCTACAGTTGCATGCAGTGCAGCCTGAAGTGGCACCCGTTGCCGGTTTTAAGCCCGGCTACATGTCTGGAAAACATCAAACATAAAACTCGTGCTAAAGTCCTAATGCCAACAAACGTGGGCCTGCTGTGATGACTTCTAATGGGAAGAGATGAAAGACATAAAACGTGGTCATTTAAGTCAGTGATTTCCCAGGAAACCCTCCAGTAGCCGACCCAAACGGTGTTGGCCATGGATGTTGGTTTGGAAAACCCGAACAGAGACATTACGATCCTCGTAACACACCTGTACTCATGTTCTCCCTGTAAGACTTCCCTAATGTCACACTGCACTTCACTCAGATATCTTAAAATCGACTCAAACGCGCTCCCCCATCAGGATGCAACGAGAACTTGTGTGTTTTCAGCACTCAGCTGTAGACTTTTAAGGCCTGTACTGATGCATGCGTGTATATGTGGAGCACATCACGTTGAAGCCAATTGAAACAGAGTGAACTACTAGTCTAACCAGAAAGCGCGGGCCAGACGTCGTATTGGGGGACCTGAGACAACAAAAAAGAAACAAACTTTGTTATGGAGAATGTGTCATTTTAAATGATCATATTTTCAGGGCCATAGATAAAATAAACATTTTCAAATGGCAACAGAACCTCAAAGACTAACCTGCCGGCTAGAGAATTTGGGAGATTTGGGACTTCCCTGCAACGCCACCATCAGGTCAAACTTTGAATTTTACAGTTAGTGTGTTTGGTGTTCTCATTCATGGCTCCCACAGAATGACCCATCCTGATTCAACCTGGTCACCAGCCCTCTCCTCTCATGAAGATATTTACTTTGAAGTGGTGGCTGCAAATGTTGCCCCTCCAGTCTGAGCATCCCAAACACACTCAGTGGTGTTGTTCTGCAGTAGTTCATCTAAACACACATGGATTCATGTCCATGGTGATGGAAACGGCTGAGAAGAAAGCTGCTTCTCCTCTCCCAGTGTGTCCCCCCTACCCCTGCAGGTGTGGGGATGAGAGGTCAAAGGTCACGCTCAGACAGAAAAGTTTCACACAGCTGAGACAGCTCAGTTGAGCATTCAAATTAGGAAAGGTACGAAAACAAGAGGTAAACACAACAAGTTGTCTTCAAATAGTTTAAATATTAAAACTGATTAAATTACTTCAAGGGATAATTGGTGGGTCAAGAATCAAAGTAGAAATGTGAAAGCGATATCAAGTGGTGAAGAGTGGCAGGAAAATCAGGAAGATATAATTTTGCCGTCAAAGAGAGAAATATTGGACATTGATGCTGACCTGAGAATTAAAAAAGGAGGTGCTAGAAGTACAGAAGAGCGTCGTAGTATGAGCTATATAAACGTGTTTGTTTCAGAGAGCAGTCGGGGCTTCAGCTCTCATAGGATGGAGATCTGGGAAACAACAG